GTGCCTAGCTTACAGTGTTAGTTATGTATGGCGAAACCCCTACCAATTCTCCAAGGTTGTAGAATATTCGTGAATGCAAGAATCGACAGTATATCCACTTCCGTAACCGTTTAAATATAGTTAAGTATTGTTGGCCGAACTTTCAAGAAAAACATTTCCCACACACATATAAAAGACCACGGTTAAAGAAGAGAGCATATAAGTCTGCGAGGAACCTGTTATAACCGTATATGCTATACACCGTGATTTTGCTAACCCTTATCAACCGGAAAATATATGACATTTGACCAGGAACAGTTATAAATTTCGAACGTCAGTGGATTCTAATCGGACGTGAGTATCTTTCCGAAAGCATTACTGAATTCTCATCGGTCATTAGTGGTTTTATGAAAATATTATCTTACTTCGACAGTCCAACAGTTCAGTGTCTGACAAAGCTAGCTAGCTTCTCGGCAATTGTACGTACATCGACTTCAAGTTAACTCGCTGGATATCAAGGAGACTCTGAACTAGAAATAAAATTTTGTGTTGTTTTTAAGCTAGTGAAATTTTTGTTTTATAAATCTTTGCTTGTGGTAACTATTCGTAATAATTGTTGTTGTAAATTGTACTGTTGTATATATATATATATATTAAAATGTATTTGTGCCAAAAACAAAGACGGTGTGTGTCAATCATGTTGGCAAATAGCGTAAATTAACTAAAATATCAGCTTCGGACTATTTCAACTTCTCAATACGTAACAGCAGATACCCATTATGTAAGACCACAGGTAAGGCTGGTCGTATAAAGGATTTATAAGTATGAAGTAAATTGGGAGAAAGGACAGTTTAAAAATGATGTCAAGTGTGCGTCAAACTTTCTTTTTGAAAACTTACGTTGTCTGGAAAGTATGATATTTTGTTGTCCTAGGTAGGGGTGGTCAGTGAAACTGGGAATTTATTAACTGTGAACATCAAATGTTCGCATCTGATAAATGCCCAGTTTCATTAACAATCCCCAACCTAGGACAATAAAAGTTATTTTTCTTATTGTTAACGTATTATAAACTAAGTATTTATATGTGAAAGCATTTATTTTAATAAGTTTCTTTATACATAGCTTAGATAAATCAAATTCTGCTCAAATGAGAAGCTGTACACTATAAAAATTTGTCAAATTTGGACTCTACTCTACTCACCACCCACCAGCAACTCTTGGGCTACTCTTTTATCAACGAATAGTGGGATTAACCATCACTTATAACGCCTCCACAGCTCAAAGGGGGCGAGCATGTTTGGTGGGATAGGGATTCGAACCCACGATCCTCAGATTGCGAGTGAAACGAACTGGTCATGCTAGGCCATGTATAGAAAACCTGTATGCCGTAGATGTGGATGAGTTTATAAACAGACTTGTTTTATTTGGTGTGTATTTGTAGAGAAATAGATAGAAAATTACGAAAAGGTGTAATAACAAATAAGTCGTATCATCAAAGTAATTTGGATCCTTTTGTGTATCAGCAGTAAGGTTACCTATTTAAAACGCAAAACTTCACTAAGAAAACGACAGCAACAAAATAATTATGATTCAGGAATTGCAAAATTTCTATAATCGAGATGTATATGTGGTCACGATGTTTTGTTTTGAAATATATAGACATCCATTTTCACAATGAACTACATTTGGCGGGCCCGGCATGGCCAGGTGATTAGGGTGCTCGACTCCCAATATGAGGGTTGCGTGTTCGAATCTCTGTCACACCAAACATGCTCGCTTTTTCAGTCGTAGGGGCGTTATAATGTGACGGTCAATCCCACTATTCGTTGGTAAAAGAGTAGCTCAACAGTTGGTGGTGGGTGGTGATGATTAGCTACCTTCCCTCTATTCTTACACTGCTAAATTAGGGACAGCTAGCACAGATAGCTCTCATGTCGCTTTGCGCGAAATTCAAAACAAACATTTGGCGGATTGATATATATTTGAGTGCTAAAGCAGATGAAGTAAATGCAGCGGCAATTGAATCCTTTCATCGAGGAAATTTAGATTTACGAACCTTAAAATTACTATTCTCAAAAAGTGTTTAAACGCACAGTACTTCTTAGAATATAATAAAAATATTTGAAACAGTGCAAACATTTCAATTTCAGCTAATTAGAGGGTATAAAAATAATTTCTATTTAAATTTAGTTATTTTTATATGCCTTATGCGTTTCTGATTAGGATGAGGAATATTAAAGTTTTGTTGCGTCAGCGAGGTCACGTGACTGGTGTCATGCCACGTTTCTAGAACTATCTTGTTCCTTCGTGAATGCCCTAGCATTTACTAGATGCGGGGTAGACTGGTATATATATATAAGAGGGTGACGGCGTGACGCGACAATGTGTGTGTAGGTAGT